GTCCCATAGCACCGTTGTATCCGGGGATTGACGGGTTGAAAACATTGTCGTATGACACAAGTAGTGTCTGAAAATCTTGTTTGTCCCCTGATGTCAACAGAGAATCTGGATCCAACTTTACGGCAGCAGAGTGAAGTACTGGTGACGCAATAGAAATGTTGGAAGGCGAAGTATCCAAAGTGGATGGCTGGAACTCAAGCGATTTTTCACTATCGCTCACTGGACAGACAAAACCAATGTGAGAGTTGCGTTTCACAATACATGGTAGTCCGGTGTCGTTTGTAAGTCTTATTTTGTTATGAACTGATCTTACGACTTGCGGATTTAACCACACAGGCGAAGAATCATTGCCATAGACACATGGTTCAACGGCGAGTTCCTTCTCACCAATCAAATTATCAGGAATGACAGTTTCAATATAGTCTCCAGGCCAAAGCGTGGAATTTATTGGTCCCGCGCGAAGTATATGAGACTGAGTACGTTTGATGTTTGCTGTAGATCGAACGTTTTTTCCAGCATCATACGTAATAGAGGAGCCATCTGAAAAAGAAATCAGCTTTCGGGCTGGTCTTAAAGTAATATCGTTCATCTCTAAAAATGGAGTTCCGGCCAAAATTTCGGTACTCAACTGGTCTACTACGAGAGCCTCCAGGAAAAACGATCTCTCATTTCGAGTGAGGTGTATACGAGTTTCACCTATAACGTTCAAGGTGGATTTCCCGTCTGCCTGGCTGGCTGTTTGTGACTTGTTAGGTAAGATGGGCGCTCCTATCTCTATTGCAGTAGTCTGACTTATCAAATTAGACTCGGCACCACAATCGAGTGTTAAATGAACCGGGTGTTGATTGTGATAAGCATCGAAGCATGGCGAAGGACTAATGCGGACACGTTGAACCTCTGCGCTGGGAATCTCAAAATTTGAGTTGGTAGACACGTCTGCTACAACAATTTCCTCATCAGAGGATGACTCTTCATTGCACATAACCTGGTGAGTCCTGGTGATGTAAAGTTTATCTTGCTCGGGTAAAAATTTGCAAGTGCTGAGAAAATGATCGTAGCGTTGTCGACCGGCCTGTTTACAAAGCGGGCAAGAACGTTTTTTTGCGTTGAAAATAGGAACGTGCTCCTTCACGGGAGAGAAAATTTTGGGTTTTTGCTTTGTAATTGCTCTCATGGCACGAATTTCCTCGTGAGAATTCAATTGATCCAATAATGAATCTAAAGCTTGAGATATTTCAGGTTTGATTGAAGCGAGAGTTCGAGATCGTAACTCCGTTCCGTATCGCTCTTTCACTAGCAAGGGCAAATCTTTGTGAATTAACTTCAACCAGGTGAGTATGACAAAGTTTTCTAAAGAAGGCGAAATTTCTTCGTCGTCTGTCATAACCTCGTTGTGATGAGTAATACCACCATCGGCGGTGAGCAAATTGTCTTCTACAAACGCCATTAAACGCTGATATAAATCCTCCGGCCTCTCGTCGGGTTCAAGTTTTATTTGCGCAAAGTCTAGAAAGTGAGCGCCGGTTGATTGAAAACCAAAGTGTAACCGAATAGACTGCCAAACAGAATTCAGACTGGTAGAGCTTTTCACAATTGATCCACGTGAAATTACTGGACAAAAGTTGGCTATTTGATTTAGCATAGATCTAATTGGGTTACCTTTTGTTGTGCTGTGCGTCGTTGTCTCTCAGAAATGGTACCGTCGTCGTCGACAAATCCACGTAGAGGATTTTGTTTGGTTTTCTTCAACCATGTCACACTACTTGACAAAAAGTGCGAAAATGTTGCATCTTGTGAGAGCAGAAACTCGAGATTTTGCTTCTACTTCTCGAAGGATCCTATTGTCTCCGCTTTTGTAAGCACCCATTGCTTTGGTGCTCTAAGTGAACTTGTACTTGTACTAGCCATTTTCAAATGTATCTCTGACGTACGTAGTTACGAACTATTAAAAATACCGCTGCCACCACGCCATGACATGAAGCAAACAAACACGTCTTTAGTGTCCAAATCATATACCTCAAGTGCCGACAAGGCACTCAGCGTTTATTTACATGCAAATCAGGCAGATGACCAAGTGTCACTGCTAGAGGCAATTACGTACTATACAGCTGTGTTTACTCGTTACAATCGAATGCACTTTACATAATACTGGCGCTGAAAACTGCGCACTTGCACTTACAGATTTCATAAAGATTTCATAAAAATCTCTTGACCTGAGTTGAGCTGACAAACGAAATTTGAATGATATAATTTGTTCATGCTCTTTAATGTCAAGTGACGTGAATATGTGGCTTTTACTGAACATGGGGTTAGTTTATGCACATAACTGAGATTTCTTTTTATCGGAATTGTTCAACCTATCTATGCGCACAACCTTTCCAATTTCTGCATAATTACCGACATCTCCTTGAAGCATGGATAAGGTACTGAAAAGCTTGAGTCCAACAAACTGCCTCACACATCCTTCCTTTTATATTAGTGAAACATTTACGCTGAATGTCCTTTGCTCTTGCCTCTGCGCTTTTCTGTCTTTATATAGATGTTGTAACATATTGTAAACCAATATATTTTACACTCTATTCATTATCGCGTGTTGATTTGTAGGTGTGATTAGTGATAGACCAAGTAATGTGAAGAATGTGAGATAAAAGACGCAGGCTGTATTGCCTCTGAAATCAAATTGTTCGTAGAAGTATTACAAAATCATCGCATCCTGGGGAAAAGCAACCTTCAGATAAATAGCCATGGTTCTGTTAACCGCAGCTATCTCCTTAACTCAAAATGCCTACTTTCATTACTTATATTTACATGTGAATTTGATGAAATATTAACACAACGACTAAAATTATGAGTGTACTAAGGGTTTGTGTCTTAGAGTAAGTAATAAAGGAAAATAGATTTAAAACAACAAAAATTGCTTTATCAAACACTATCCCTTATTTATAAATGTAAGGCTTCATATGTTTCTCAAAAAGCAGCCCCAAGTTATGTGCAGTACTTAAATCAGTAGGTAAATTATTCCATATCTTTGGCTCATATAAAGTAAAAGTTTTAACTGCAGCACGCGATCGGCACAGAAATCAGTGGAAATGTCACTCAGATAATTTTGGATAATTGTTGTTGCGATTTTAGACTGCATAAGTCATTGTCATCATGATTATTATTCTTATTAGTATTATTTATTCATTTTTAATATTATAGTAGTTGTCCCCGCCTTCTCTTAAGCTACCAGCATCAACAGCTAGAGTCAGGAAAAAAGGGGCCTTTGAATGAAGAGGCCTCTAAATTTAGTTTTTATTTGATACATTAGACATCAGACAGACATGCCGCCGCCTGAGCTGCCAGCATCAGGCATCTGATCAACGAGACAAAATTCAGACTGAATCCTAATACAGATTGTGTCGCGGCTGATAGCTCTTATTACATGTGATCCTCCACTGGCATCATCTAAAAATCATAGACACGTTCTTTGCATAAAATCCTATGGCGATTTAACTTAATTTGGTGCATTTTAGATTGAAAAGTAGAAGGATGGAAATGACAAACAGTCTGTCAAAAAGGTCCGTTATTATTTCCCTAAGTCCCACCCAGAGGTCCAAGGTGTTTTAATCGTTATATATGTCATCTGTTTTAATTACCTGTTTAATCATGTACAGTACCATACACTGGGATGTCCTAAGACTAAAGATGTTGTAAGCCTCTAGCAGTTAAAATTCTCGAGACAGATGTCGTTATATTCCCTCCTGCTATTTGCCAGTGGCAAGAAATTTCACCAAGAAGCCAGGTAGAAAGTAACGCCGTTTCTAATCTCATTCCTATTGAATCCCTGGACGCACATGCAAATTAGGCTAGGGTCCTTTTGTCTGCAAATAATATATTCGAGCTTACTTCACTTACCGTGGCCGGTGCCCGAACGCAACATTAGTAGCGATGAGGTCGTGTCTATTTATTTTACCTGTACGTTGGTTGATTAATTCGTGGCTCGAATTCTAAATTTGGGTATCCGTGCTCACAAATCTGAGGTTCGGGTTGGCAAACGCCTACTCCGTTTATAAGGCCTTAATATTCGTAACTGTATTATTTATCAGATGATAGGTTTAGCCGAGGCTTTTATGGGGTAATGCTGGCCAACCGGATATCGACGTATTTTGACTCGAACACTGGATTTACGTTGGAGTTGCAAACAATATCATTTTTTCGTATATTGGCGTAAACAAAACAGGTTTTACTATTAAGCCTCAGCAAACCGTTCATAAGACTGATTATTTTTATACCCCGTTCTAGTGACCAGGGCCGATAATTCTTGCCCAGATAAGGACTCGCAACTAGTACAGTGGAGACCGGGAGACAGTCCAAACACTGACGTCACCATCGCCAATGACAACCTATATCTGCTGGACCAATCAACAACAGTAAAAAGCATAACGGTTCAAGATGGAGGTAGGTCCACTGCAGCTTGTACAACACGTGTTTTCAGATGCGGGGATATTTATCGATCGATTATTGCCATTATGGGTTGAATATATGAAAAAAAAAACATGCGCTTTATTTTGTGTCTCATTTAATTTCAGTTGATTTTATTATAAACAGATATACATAAATGATTTAATCAAAGTCGAAGATAGTTCTGTCTGGAGGATATTATTTCATACTTGTGTCATTGACAGTTTTTTTCTGGTTTTTCTGAATGGCAGAAAACAAGCACCATAGCCGAAACTACTAAGAAATAAACGTGAACTTTTGACAACTTTTACTCTCTCTTCTAGGAAAACTTGTTTTCAAAGATGGCGTGGCCCCGATTGTCGTGAAAACAAAACACATTCTTATAGAAGATGGCGGAGAGATGCACATTGGAAGTCCTGATTGCAGGTAAGGTTTAACATTGAACTGCTATAAATGATTTTTGCAGACATTGCAATCGTAAGGTTTAGACATGTACTACACATAATACAGCATGCAAATAGAACATATAGAACACATCAGAATACACAGACGAAAGCCTGCACGAGATGGCTAACACAAAGTCTATATTTAGGCTTTTTGTTTGACAATTTTAAGATACAAGGGGAAGGTAACCATCATCCTCCAAGGTAAGTCAACCGACTTTGGAGAGGTACCAGAATTTGGCAGGAAGTTTATTGGTGTCAGTAAAGGTGGTACCTTGGAAATTCACGGTAAGACGAAGACTGCTTGGACCTTTCTGGAAGGGCACCTCACAGGTAAGGGGTTAGTTGTAACACCAAGACTGTTAAATTTAAGACTACCCTAATGCTATGCATCAGCTTCTTTTTCTTTCTGTTTTCTCTTACTTTTATTGGTCCATTTTCGTTGTCTAAGATTTTTTTCTTGGTATATTTTACAATGTTGAATGACGTAACGATGTATTTCATGTAGCTATGAAACTATAATAACAATTAAGAATACCAGTTGTTTAAGAACAATAGATAAAGATCCGATTGGAAATCAATTTTGAGAGATAACAATGCGTATATAACGCAGAAAAGCAAGGCCCTACGGATTGTTACAATAATAAGATATGATATAACGGAGCATCTCCAATTCATCAACACGACAGTGTCCTCAATCTGAAATAACTCGTATATTAAAGGGTCACTGGCGGAAGGAGAAGACAAAGATTCTGACATGTCGCGAGGGTTAAACGTGCGTGTCATAGACCAGGAGACAGGCACCATCACAGCCCGCGAGGCGTTTGACACGCGCTTTGATACCACGGCCTCGGATAGATTCACTGAATTCATCACGGAGCAGAAAGGTGACTCACTTATTTATAAAATTGATTGCAAACTATGACCAAACTACATAATCTATAGTAAAGGTCACCTTTGAATTTTACGTTTCCATATTTATTTTCTTACTCTTCAAATACATCTTAATTTGGAGCTGTAATTACATCATAATTCATAACATCTTAAACTGATCTCGATGAAACATACATATAGATGGAGCCATAATAGCCATATCAGCCAATGACAAGGCCTTCGTGAAACTTTACTCGGCTGGCAAGACTCTGTTGGCCAATATGGGGAGCACTGACATTAATAGCGTTGGCTCTTGGTGAGTGCTAAGTACACACACTGGACAATAGAAGTGTCACCCCTTGAATCAGAGTAATCAAAGTTTTTAACCTGAAGAGGCGGAATATAAGCAATATCAGCATACCGATACAATTGAATTGTTCAGTCAGAACCGTTTCTTTTGCGAAATTTGATGTTAATAAAATGATACCAGGAGCATATCATTCCACAGTCATTTATTTCCCCCAAAGTATTGGTTCAGTAGGGGTGACACTTCTTTTGTCCAGTGTATGTAAATGTTTTAATTGAAATAAAGTCAATGTCATTTAAATGCCTTTAAAAAGTTTTTATTCAACATAAGGGTCCATTGATGAGAAAGTTGATTGGGTAATCTACAGTTCTGCTGTAAATATTTTTGAAAATATGTTGATATGAAAAGTGTTAACCAGTCTGTTGGTTTAGCCATACATCCGTTTTCTAGGCATGTGACGTGTCTCCCGCTCCTTATATATAAATTGACATTAACCTTCATGTGCACATGTACACCTTTTTAAATCTTTCAGTGGGCCATATGTGGGGGTGAACTTTATGCATCCATGCGATCGATACCAAAAGTAATAAGTATGTACGAGAAAGGTCACATCGACAGTGGAAAATACATGCTGGGGTTGGGTCTGGGTGGGGTGGGGGGGTGGGGGGGCGAGTGTGCGCCAATACCTTCTGCTCCTTAATTACCATCCCTCCACTGACAACTAACGTAACAAAACCAAATGTTTCCCCATACCTACAAACTGTTAGACAATTATCTGCGTCTGTTGTTACAGCATGCAAGGCAATGTAATTTAAACTCCCCAATTAAAAATAAAACTGGGGTCCCTGGCACAGACCAAAAGCTCATGGATAGGGTCAGTTGTGTATACAGTATTATTGACATGTTTAATTTTTTATGTTAAGGGACCCCTGGGCGTTCATTACTGTTAAAGGCTCACCTTCGGAGACTGTCGAAGAAACAGTGGAATACATTAGTAAGTGAATCTTGCATATTTTGATTTCTTTAATCTTATCACTCACTGCTAGAACATTTTAGACGTATAATCGTCGCACCCCACAACTTGTTACACAGTAAAAATGATCAAATTAATCTGTATGAAATGTTTAAATATTTTATTTCAATTATTTATGTTCTTTTCTGTGCCACTCAGTTTTGACACAAAACACAAATTCAAATAACCCTCGGGTTTTCATAACTATGCTTTGTCTTATCACGTTCAATTATGTCCATCCTTCATCGTTTTAATTAAAATTTAGTAGTGTAGAGCTTTTTTATATTTTCATTTGTAGTTTTTATCCTTATGGACTTTAATGCATTTCAGCTAAAAAAACAACTCACTACGCCACTACTGAAAAGATGTTCACAAATTCTATGGGTCGGTTCCGTGTCTACGTGAAAAGTGGATATGACGGTCAGTGTCATCTGTATGCACCTGATTATAGACCCCATTTACATACCTACATGTATAGCACACATCATTAGATCCGCACCCATGCTTTTGAGTTTATAACACTGTTTAAATTTTTATGCCCGTGTGATAAACCTACTAAATGTAGTACAATTAGAAATGCCTTTTTTTCCTATTTTCTAACTCTTTTTTCAACTGAAGAATTTATCAATATTGATCTAAACCAACTGTATTAATTCATTAAACATTCAATATTTTGTAAAATGTCAAAATTAAAATTTTAAACTATATAAAGAAAACCATCATTCCATTCACACAGGAACAGAAGGGAAGGCAAGTGGTGCAATCGAGCTGACCGACGAAACAGATGGTCGCGTGATCACGCTCGCAGATGACGTCAGCAGTTGGGAAGAGGGAGATCGTATAGTAATCAGTAGTACCGATTATTCCATGTATCAGGCGGAAGAATTTCTGATTGGAAATTGTGAAGTTTGTAATAGTAATCAAGTCAATATCATGGGTAAGAATTTATTTAACTATCTAATCACTTAATTTATTAAGATAATTAAAAATATCATTTATAGAACTATTAGGATCATTATTATCCAGCTTTAAATGGAGATTCACGGCACATGATGATGTTATCATGAAGATCGCATGATGGCATTCCCATGTTAAGAAAGTAATCACTGAAATTAAGCATTCGATTACGTAAGTGTGTGTGACAATTAAAGTTCATTGATCGACACTCACAGCGGATTTATAGAGCGCTAAACAACATTAAAAATGTTCATGTGTCATATTGAGTACGAATGTATCTCTTTGTGCCTTTGTCTAAAACGGCCTCAGATGGATTTCTGTGTGAAAAATGTTTGTACTATTACGTTTTATGGTCGTAATGTAGATAGATTTTGACAAGCCCAGAGGTAAATCCCAATTCTTACATACGCGGTATTGTTCAATCGGATAAATAAAACGCATCTGCTTTAGAATAGTTTTATACTGGATAAAAAGATACCATGATCCATTATTATTATTATTATTATTATTATTATTATTATTATTATTATTATTATTTCCTTCCAGGTCCAGTCAAGTACCTTCATTTTGGCGGGTCATCGTACGGCGTGGACATGCGTGCTGAGGTTGGACTCCTCAGCAGAAATATCCTGATTAAGGGAGAAATGGAAGCAAGCTGTTATGGAGACAATTTCTGCCAGTTCTTTGATTTTGACACTTTTGGCGGGCATTTGAAGGTAACGTATACTACATTTATTACTCAGGTAACATCGTATGGTTCCAAATTGCCCTCCGATTTTACTGTGGCATTACAAATACTAATACTTTTAGAAAATGTTTTTAATCTGAGATTTAGATATAGAAAATATAGAAAATGATAATGCTACAACAATTTGTACCGATGATCATTTGTTTGTTTAAAAATGAATGTCCCTAAAACTGACTCGCTAATAGCTAGATTATAAGAAAAGTGGATTGAAAACATCTTGCTTTTTCAAAAAAAAAAAAAAAAAAAAAAAAATCTCTCAAAGCCCAAGTGGAGTGCACTTGGTGCATTCATCAGACAAAATAACTTAGCATGGAACAATGAATATCTGGGAGTAAATCGGACATTTTTTTAATTTAATGAAGTTTAAATTTCCCCAGGTCGTCAAAGGTTTCAAATCAGTCCATCTGTCAGGAATAGAAGTGTTTAATATGGGTCAGCAGATCCTTGGAAGTTATCCAATCCATTTCCACATCTGTGGTGACGTCGACGAACTCGGTGGATACACCAATCCTACTTGGGTTAAAGACCTGTCCATCCATCACTGCTTCAGTCGCTGTGTCACCATCCATGCTACAAATGGATTGTTGGTGGGTATTGTCTTTTGTACTTAAGGAAACGGCGCTAAAACAACTGTGCTTTAACATGTGTGATTGTGCACTTTGAAATTTCAATTATTATCATTCGATTTATACTAATTATGCGGATTACTAATCTCCACTTATTGACATATTTTGTATCTTAGGTTCAAAATGTCGTCGGATACGATACACTTGGTCATTGCTTTTTCCTGGAGGACGGTAATGAACAAAGGAATACTCTGGACCATAACTTGGGTCTCCTCACCAAACCAGGCACCCTCCTCCCGTCTGATAGGGACAGCGACATGTGTAAAGCTATAGTGGACAGAGTTATCCCGGGGTATACACCTTCAGTTGATGCCTGCAAGTAAGTGCTGGTACACGCATCAGGGCGCTCTTTCACCTATGTGTCTCCACAACCCTCCCTACATCCCTGTCTTCCCCTACATCCCTCTTCCTCTCCATCTCTCTCTCTCTCTCTCTCTCTCTCTCTCACACACACACACACACACACACACACACACATTGGTGATTAAGAACCAGATGTCATGTGGTACATTGACGTCATAGTAGAAATTCTGTTGTCATATTGCAGTGGAGTTAGCACATTCTGGCTTACCCACCCGAACAATACCCTCACCAACAATGCAGCCGGTGGCTCTGAGGTATGTGTAACTGAAAACATATAAACGGTAGATACTTGACAACATCTTAATTTTCATTATAGAAATTTACAAGAAATTTAGAAATCTTTATAAACTTCAAAATAATTTTACATATGACGTAGTAAAAGCGAAAACTATGTTTTACTTGCCAACAGACGTCTCTCCACAAAAATTAATAAAAAAAGTGAAAGATTAATTAAATTTTCACATGCCGTCCATTTTTTATCATGCCACATTCATATTTATATCACAGCTTGACATATCCACACGGGCGTTCAATATTATAATTAAACCCCTCATTTTCCATCAGAAAAGACACAGTGGAAAGAGGCGTCGTTAAGGGCGAATAAATGGAAAAAAGAATTCATAAGTTTATGACGATGCAATACCAGTTTCCTTTTTATCCACATATGCAAACCGTGGCAACACCTTCCAATGCAGACATATAAATCAGAAAAGATTTCTTCAGCTGTTTTATAAGGATAAAGTCATTTTTCTTCAATCCCTGATAAAGATGCTCTGATAGACAATGAAATGTTGGAGGTAAACATTATTAGGATCCAGCTGTTAATTGAAGAAAACATTTTTCTTGGACATATAAATAACTTTCCAGGGTGTATGCTACTGGTTTATATTCCCAGAAGAACCCACCGGTCCCTCTGTAGGCACCCTACCCCCGGGTCACAGCCCCCACAGTCCCGTCAAGAAGTTCTACAACAACAGGGCGCACTCTAGCGTGAAAAGGGTGAGTTATATTGGCTTGCGATAATAATACCTGTTTTGTAACTCAGTGGAACTATCTGTGCTTCGATCAGGGCAATAGTCACTCTTTTATCATAACGTGCCACTAGCTCTGTTAGATTTAACTTAATTGTAGCCTAGATTTTTCAGTTTTAATATCATTTTTGTAAAAGTGGTAGCCATCTGTGTTTTGCAGTATTCCTTGTTGTTGTCCAAGGGACTGAAACTAACGCCATCTACCGAAGATGATCCTGCGGAATATTTATCCCTGACGGGCAACCGGTAAAGGCATTTGTTTTGTCTCTGACATTCTTATTCCAATGCGGAAAAATAATACTGTTACAGATGTACTAACCTGCAGTACGATGACGCTAAGAAAGTAAGTCGTGACTCTTTTGGCGTTAGATTAACAATTTTAGACTGCTAGTTGAATATCGACCGAGCAGAAACCTGCGTAAATTTTTAGCCCAGTGGCGTATCATAAAATGTTATTTTTTTAGTATTTTACAAAACATCGTTATGGTAAATGAATGAAAATTAATAACAAATAAATGGACTCAGTCACTGAAATATTTTTATTATACCAACGATATTGATTGTTAGTTATAACAATTAAAATTGTTCTGAAATCTATTTAGCCAATAATCCAACTTTCCTTTAACCGGTATCAGTTTTCAGTAATCTAATTAGGCCCCCAAACGTCAAGACTTATTGTGAAGTCTTACATGTAGGTCCCAGCATCTAGGACGCAAAGTGTAAACCGCCCTAAGCTCCCTTTACATACATATAAAGGGGTTTCTTTTCCATTCCAGACACGCTCCCCACGTGGACGCTGACCTTGAAAAGCCAAGGTCACCATCTGTGATAGAACGGTACACGGTGTTTAAGACCAAAAGTAGGGGTATATGGGGGCGTGGCGGAGATATTTATGTCAAAAACTCAAGGTATTTCATTCGGAGCGTTTTAGTTCCTTTCAATAGGTTTTGTCCATTGATATACTAAGCTTAATTGAAGAAAAAGTAAATTAACTGTGCTTCAATAGTTTGTGACTTTCCGTTTTGATTTAGTTAGAAACGTGAGCTGCACGTGTATAATCTGCACATTCATACTGTGGGGCTGATATCAGTATTATCAGTGGCGGTGATATCAACGTACCTTGTTCAAAATGTGCTTAATGGTACACAATTGAAGCAATCTAAACTCCAAACTGGCTTGTTATTTCAGGTTTGCGGATCTATTGAATGCGATAACTTTTGCGAGGTAAACAGCCGATATTATCTCTCTATCTATCAGAATATAAGTTTTCTTACAAATTCCTACAGTTTTCTTACAATTTACAAATAACGCATCTCTTCTGAGAAAAAAAGGTGGAGCTTAGAGAAAACAGTTATTTAGAATAATTAAAACCTTCGTAAAGGTGACTCCGTCCCCCCATTCTTAAAGTTGACTCTGCTTCTCAGCCTTTTGATGACAAATATTTGACCAATATCCATTGATCTCACATGAACGTGACAGAACACACTTCAAGTGTTGACAATCACTTCCAGTTCAGGCAGGACACCATACGACCCAGGTAGTCACCAGGAGGTCACAGACAGTATCTTTGTCGGTGAAAGTGAAAACAGAGGAACCCAAATGCAGAATGACAACACACAGAATTGGGCGGCCGGCTTTGACGGAAAGATGCGAAGTTTTCCGAATGACCCGTAAGTGAAATATGGTGGTTAATGGTAATTTCTTTTGTACATTTTTTGGTTTTGATTGAACGCCACTGAGTGCGTTATTATCCTCTTGAGAGTTAAATGTACTGCCAAAATAACAAAGGTGTTGCACAATGCGAAACATCACTTAAGTGTGTGTCCATGATAAGACCAGTCNGGTTTTGTCCATTGATATACTAAGCTTAATTGAAGAAAAAGTAACTTAACTGTGCTTCAATAGTTTGTGACTTTCCGTTTTGATTTAGTTAGAAACGTGAGCTGCACGTGTATAATCTGCACATTCATACTGTGGGGCTGATATCAGTATTATCAGTGGCGGTGATATCAGCGTACCTTGTTCAAAATGTGCTTAATGGTACACAATTGAAGCAATCTAAACTCCAAACTGGCATGTTATTTCAGGTTTGCGGATCTATTGAATGCGATAACTTTTGCGAGGTAAACAGCCGATATTATCTCTCTATCTATCAGAATATAAGTTTTCTTACAAATTCCTACAGTTTTCTTACAATTTACAAATAACGCATCTCTTCTGAGAAAAAAAGGTGGAGCTTAGAGAAAACAGTTATTTAGAATAATTAAAACCTTCGTAAAGGTGACTCCGGCCCCCCATTCTTAAAGTTGACTCTGCTTCTCAGCCTTTTGATGACAAATATTTGACCAATATCCATTGATCTCACATGAACGTGACAGAACACACTTCAAGTGTTGACAATCACTTCCAGTTCAGGCAGGACACCATACGACCCAGGTAGTCACCAGGAGGTCACAGACAGTATCTTTGTCGGTGAAAGTGAAAACAGAGGAACCCAAATGCAGAATGACAACACACAGAATTGGGCGGCCGGCTTTGACGGAAAGATGCGAAGTTTTCCGAATGACCCGTAAGTGAAATATGGTGGTTAATGGTAATTTCTTTTGTACATTTTTTGGTTTTGATTGAACGCCACTGAGTGCGTTATTATCCTCTTGAGAGTTAAATGTACTGCCAAAATAACAAAGGTGTTGCACAATGCGAAACATTACTTAAATGGAAATAGCTGAAATATGCAAAATTCGAAACTCTTGAAAATAAGAAACTGGCTATAAAGAACTCTAAAACGGGTGCAAGAGCACTGTTTCCTCATCGGTATAATATATGTATTTGAGGTGTGGCATTTTTGCCTATTCATTGATTTTTTTTATTATTTTATCTTTTAATTTTGTGATATAAAGATCTAACGCTTATTAACGATTAAATCTGCTTTACAGAATAGAACCAATGAGGGCCATTGTTTTATATGACGGACCTGTCTCCGTGGAAAGATGTCAGTTTAAGCGCTGTGTCAGTCAACATAACGATGCCACGGTGGCCATTGGGTTTCTACATGAAAATAAATGGCAGTTTTCAACCACCACGAGGGTTAAAGAGGCTTCCTTTGACGACGTGGTACGCACTGATTCACTGTTGATTAATAACTACCCAAATGTCATAAGAACTTAGAATATAACACATTTACAATTCGAAAAAAGAATCTTATATGACGCTTATGCCCCACGCAAAAGTCATTTCGTGAGTACATAAAACAGAATTGCCGGTCAGCATCACCTGTNCTTGTGCAATTTCAGGTGACTCTTCTATTATTATCTGTAAGATTGTCCATGTCAAGGTTAACATCCAGGCCTAGGATGTAAAATCTGAAAAATAAACATAACATCAATAAATGTTTTACAACAACAGAAGCTTACTGTGTTCAGAATAGAAACTACTGTAGCAGGATCAATCTATCTCAGCGGAGTATCACACTCAGGCTCAGTCATTGTAATCAGCTTAATTGTCTGGCACACTCCCTTGCAAAGCAACATGAACAACATAATGGACCGCAAAGTCTTTCTGATTTTACTAAAGTACTTTTAGTTGTACGAGTGTTCTGTGTAAGTCTTGAAAATTGAAGCACAGTGTGTTACAAAGTCACATAAAGCTAAGTGGTTAACTTCAACTTCATTGTAAACACACATAAATCTGCATATGAAACTAAAATATAAAAAACTGGCACAAGTAACATCCCCTAAAATGCCAAAACTGAATGTGAAACTGAATGTGTGTTACATACCTTTGATTCTGGGAAAGAAATTTCTAATGAAGCTGTCTACAAGCTGTCTCTTAACTGTTTGTGTTATGATAACACATGAAACAAAGCCCTAGAATTTAATGCACAAATATACTTGATAAGTTAGATACACAGTTAATTCTCTTCAGCAGACATATTTACCATGAAATAGAAATCAAGCAAAATTATATGAATTGAAATATACCAGAACATATTTTAATTCTGCTTAATATTCTTTATATTACTTAAAAATATTCAAACTTATTATTTAAACTGGTTTGAGTTTTTAGTCAGTGTATCTGATTCTAGTATATTTTATATATAGTATATATATGATCACTTACCTTACAACAAACATCCAGAGCTAAATCGATGAGCTGGATATATTGAGGAACCTAAGCCTGACGACAGTTTGAAATGGTTCAAAAAAAAAAAATAATAAATAAATAAAATAAATAAAAAATGCACATTCTAACAGGGGCGGATCCAGAGATATTTTCTGACAGTCTTCCAAATTCTCTTTGTTGATCCATCCTACATTTTTGACCGTCTTACGACAGACAAAATTAGATACCCGACAATGTAAACTTCAAAATCTGAGCCTCAATCCGCCCCTGCTGACGACCAGCTGCTGTGGTCATTTCTTGTGATATTCTGGTGCACACCAATCCTTCTGAGATGTACCTAAGCATCTCTAGTGCGTGTTCTTCATAANACAGTTTGAAGTGGTTCAAAAAAAAAAAAATAAATAAATAAAATAAATAAAAAATGCACATTCTAACAGGGGCGGATCCAGAGATATTTTCTGACAGTCTTCCAAATTCTCTTTGTTGATCCATCCTACATTTTTGACCGTCTTACGACAGACAAAATTAGATACCCGACAATGTAAACTTCAAAATCTGAGCCTCAATCCGCCCCTGCTGACGACCAGCTGCTGTGGTCATTTCTTGTGATATTCTGGTGCACACCAATCCTTCTGAGATGTACCTAAGCATCTCTAGTGCGTGTTCTTCATAAAATTAAGAAAGCATTATGTTTTAACACTGTAAAGACGATGTGCTTTGCTCCACAGTTGCTCCGGTGATAATCCTAGTACCCGCCATGTTGAAAATAGGTCACAGAGTTAGCATTGTTATTTTACATTTAGTTTCTACAACATAAATAAATTTAAAAATGTATTTTTGCTTCATAAGTTTGTCTGCAGGGCAAACAAGATTGTTTTAAGGGCTTTTCACAAACCTATACATGGTTTTGACTTATTAATTTAGTTGAAGAAACAGATAAGCATTTCAGTAGTATAAAAATATTCGTTTTTAGGCCCTTTTTAAAATTGTTATAGTTCTAATTTTACAAGGTTTAACACAGATTTTATTTCACAAATTTTATTTTGCAACCCTTTTCTATCAGTACATACCAAAATTATATGGATACAACCTGCAAAAAAGAAGATGTGTGCATTTAAAGAAGGGGAGGGGGTCAAGCATACGGAAAACATGCCTTATTAGAATCAACCTTGTGTGGTCATGACAGTGCCCTTTCGAAAAATCTGTACTGGGTATTAAAGGTCTTTCCTTAACTCATCATATGGCATACCTAAATAATTCCTTATGATGTATATTATTTTTTAAAAGAATATTTAAAATTATAACTTTTCAAGAGCTAAAAAATGCAATATTTTGGCAAAATTGCGGATAAAAGACCTTCCCCCATATCTCTAAAACTAATGATCCAAAATAAGAAAGCCAGTGGCTCACAATATCTTTCATGTTGATGGTTTACCACACCAAAAATTATTAAAATCTGCTGACCCCCACCTTGCCGCCTTCTGACTGATCTGTTTGGCTTTCTCATGGACGCGCTCTTAAATGGAAATAGCTGAAATATGCAAAATTCGAAACTCTTGAAAATAAGAAACTGGCTATAAAGAACTCTAAAACGGGTGCAAGAGCACTGTTTCCTCATCGGTATAATATATGTATTTGAGGTGTGGCATTTTTGCCTATTCATTGATTTTTTTTATTATTTTATCTTTTAATTTTGTTATATAAAGATCTAACGCTTATTAACGATTAAATCTGCTTTACAGAATAGAACCAATGAGGGCCATTGTTTTATATGACGGACCTGTCTCCGTGGAAAGATGTCAGTTTAAGCGCTGTGTCAGTCAACATAACGATGCCACGGTGGCCATTGGGTTTCTACATGAAAATAAATGGCAGTTTTCAACCACCACGAGGGTTAAAGAGGCTTCCTTTGACGACGTGGTACGCATTGATTCACTGTTGATTAATAACTACCCAAATGTCATAAGAACTTAGAATATAACACATTTACAATTCGAAAAAAGAATCTTATGACGCTTATGCCCCACGCAAAAGTCATTTCGTGAGTACATAAAACAGAATTGCCGGCCAGCATCACCTGTTCAGTATGTTATTAACTTTTGATAAGGTTCAGAAAGAAGAGGACTAGTTACTTAAAATTTGGGGAAGTATATAAAACATGGATCCGCAGCCTCACAGAAGGAACGGTACATCTATATCGTTGGTTTGATTTTCAATCCACATCTCTTACTTGTCCAAGGGCAGGTGGCAAACGATGGTAAAGATGGTATCCTATAGTCACTTTAAACAAGGCGAGGGGCAATGACGTTAGTGCTCACATCTGTTTGCCTGTACACGCCATCAAGCACTCGTGTTGTTTCATAAGTTGTAAAAAAGGCAATTATAAAACAAAAATAATAATTGCACCACAGTGACTCTACATCTTATAAGGTTATTAACACAGAATAATCATTGCAATATGAAGAGGTGGGGGAGTTATTGGGGTATTGAATGTAGGTAATTGGGTAGAACCGAGGGCCATGTAATAGTCATACACTAATTGTATTCTCCGTGGACTTAACTACACATTTAGTATGCACTAACGCAGATTTTCTTTTCAGACGCGCCGCGTTTGGTTTGGGAAGATTCCAGTCGGGAATCACGCCGACGACCCAGTGAAAGATGGCGACAAAACTCAGATTTTCCACGACGAGGACGGCTCCGTTAGTGGTTATGCAGGCGCGTACGTCGTTCGAGCAGACAACTACCTTCTCCGCCATGATGGGTGTGTAGAAAAACCGGAATGGAATAACGCTGCAATCTGCAAAGGAACTTATGCGCAAGTGAGTCATTTAGTTCTTGGCCAACTAATATCTTTAGTTAGACTAGCAGAATCAACAAATCACAACGACGTAGGTTTGTCCAATTAAAATTGATCTATCACAGTTATATTAGAAACCATATTGATGTTTTTACAACGTCGTAGGTCAATTCTTAAGCATAAAAAAGATTATTCACGGTTACACCAGACTGGCAGAAAGTCAAGCAAACTTGAGCCTTCAATTTAGAACATTACGACACGCGTTTATCGCATATACCTAGTGAACTGTAATGATAATCTAAATTTGGGTTTCCCCGTTGACATTTTTATTATGAAATATCGGTGGATAAACAAAAACAGTTAATGTGAACAAACTTTCATTCAGAGATCTTCTTTGTGTTTGGATTAAAGATAAGATAAAGTGTATCCACGCATATTCCTTTTTTCAGCTGTATGTCATCACAGAGAAGGGGGATTTGGTAATGAGTATTACTCGCACAGACCACCCCGACAAACCCCTCGAACTAGAGAGCCCCACTGGTGACCAGTACCAGCCGTCCATGCTACTGGGCCGTTCCTATATCATTCACTGGGACAACACCACACCCGACGATATAGAGCTACACCCCATTAATTTCAACAGGTAAATTCTTTTTTTTTCTTCTTATTTTGATTATTATCTCCGTTTTTTCTATGCCCCTTTTTCAAGGAGTTTATACTAGCAACGATGGAATGGTTGGAGAGAGAGAGAGAGAGAGAGAGAGAGAGAGAGAGAGAGGGGCAAGCCATATTGAACCGATATCCATACATTAAACTGTACAAATATACATATGCTATCTTCTAGATACGACTACATTATGGTTGGACTCTGTTACCCTATTGGAACGACATTCAACATCCAATACGAGATTGAAGATACAAACCAGGGCAAGAGAACTCTAACAGAAGTCAACTCGCTGGCTGAAGTTCAAAATGGAGACGGTGGCCAGTATTTCATCGATAAAGAAGTTGGGTAAGGACTTTGATGTTCAAATGCCTATAGATAAGAATTTCTACGAAACAAATAACAGATTTTATAAAAATCGCAACCATCGCAGTCTTATTCAAAACCTCATATTGAACTCAGCCAGCCTATAATCGTGTGTGTGTGCGTGTGTGTGTGTGTGTGTGTGTGTGTGTGAGAGAGAGAGAGAGAGAGAGAGAGAGAACATTTGAACTCCAAATCTAAATATTTTCACACTGTTACGTTAATGCACATTTCAGATTGCTATTTCTGAAAATCATTACTGCATACGACAGAGAGGGCTGGAATTACTGCTCTACACAAGGCTGTGAGTACATATCCATCTTGGCCACCATGCCAAGTGGCGCTACCAGTGTCTGTCCAGGACAGGCCTATCCTAAGTATCAAGAAGAAGTTATCAACGTTCCAATCGGCTGATTTTCGAATATGCTGTACTAAACAGCGTAACGTACCACCTTATCGTGACATTGCCATGATGGTACTAATATAGAGAATAAATAGTTATTTATATGCAAAGCGAATGGTATTACGACATTATGATTCTGCTTTGCATGAAAATAAACCCTCGTTTCACCTTTGTTCTGTTGTTTGTGTAATATGATAAAGATATATGGGCTTCGGCGAATTTCTTTGGCATTAAACAAAATAAGTGCATGGCGCGAAGTCTCTACCCTTATTTAGGTTCGCAACAATCTACCATTTATTTTAGTATGCAACATTAAGTAAAAAAAAAAAATCTCTCGTTTTGTCTGTAGCAATGTTTGTTTCTATGTCAAATCTTACATGCATTCCTCCATAGCGCTTTAGTCAAATTGAAATCTTTTAAATTAAATTCATAAGCGACTTATTTTCTTCAAGACAAGTTAAGTTACATTATATAGGAACAAAGTATTATTTTAATTATAGATTCGTACATTTCTCTTATTCTTTATTGGTCCACAGAGCCATAGAAAAGGACAGATTGGTTGCCTTTCTTGTCGAAATAAAAGTGATAACAGCCAAATGTAAACTCTTCCAAGCTAATGATGCCATCTGTATTGCGATCAGTGTCGTTTATGGGTACCTCCGGTGGCAAGGCGTTCCGAAATATTGTTAAAAAATTGAAATATTAATCAGAAGACATTTCATTGTTGCAGTCAGAATCAAATATGTGGAACCAATCAGTACAGTATTCCAATTCTGCAGCATTCAACGTGCTGTTACGAATGTCAATTTGGTACACCTCAATCAACTTATCGAAATTAAGTTCATGTTCAAAGCTTGTTGTGTGGTCAGTAAACCAAACCGTCCAAACCCAACTCATCAATCCAAACACTGCCTTAGCCCTCCACGAGGAAAGCACGCGACGGCTTCTCTCCGCTGTCAAATCAACATATTCCTTGACAACCGTCCCATCGCCATTGACGTCCAGCATTCTCAGCCAAGCATTCGCCTTCATTTTCCAAATGGCATCTATCTGATCTTGGAATTGCTAAGCAGTTTAGAAAAAGTTAGGAGTGATTATTAAGGTGTGAATTGTTACTTAAATGATTTCAACATTACGACAATTAAGTTATCACAGATATTTAAATGTGTATTCCCTAATGCTGATTCTTACCCACAAGAACAAGAATAATAAATTAGAATATGAAGAGTAGACATATAGGAGGGCAATTCACAGTTGACAATGTTTGGAATTTTTATTAACTGTGTAGTCCTGCATGAGTCAATGTTTCTCTTTCGTTTTGTTCGAAAAAAAAAAAAGAATATAAGAAAGTCGTAACTAACCTCTCGACCAACAGACCTGATACTACTAGTGTGACTAGAGGCAAAAAGAACAAAGATTAACAGGGGAATGAGAAGATCCATGATAACACTTCTAATCTGAAATAAATATCATAGTTAAGATACCTAGGCATATATGTTTCAAATTAAATGATACATTTTGGGGAAATTATGTGCACCTGTATGTCTTAAGTTAATAAATGATTCAATCTGGAGAATCATGATATCTATTATGAAAGGAACAAATACCGAATTACCCCACAATAATTGTTAAGCGACATACTGTTTTGTTATACTTTTTTGTACCTGCTTATTTTTAATAAGCATACATGTAGATAGTTAAAGTAATCACGGCAGCCTTTTATATACATGTGTATTATGCAAAATCGGTGATTTCCTAAAATAACACAATACTCACTTTGTCTCAGCCATTCCAGCCTTCACGCAGATCGAGGAACTAACTCTTAATAAAGAGAATTAGATGACACCAGATCACGTGGTCTTAGAACCAAATCCTGGAAAGATGCAAGCAAATGTATCTGTTCTTACGGTTTTAAATTCAGTATTCTAGAGTGAAAATTGAGATAAAGATCGATTTCTAAGGTGTTTTAGTTTTTACTGATAGGGCTTTTCCATCTAATGTATATTTGTGTCTTTGACATTCTTTGATGTAGTTTAATATACAGTATTACAGTAAATATACAGAATAATGATCGCAGTTAACATAATTAAATATAAATAAAAAAACAACAATAACTCAATGTTTGTTTCACAATTAGAAACGAATAATTTCATCTTTAGAAACACGAAACATGGAAAAATATTAATTTACATATGAGAACTTTTATTTCAGATAAGCTACACTGCTGAAATAATAATCCGATGCAATCCGATGAAAAGGTCACGTTTTACCTTTGTTCTTTTTATCGTGTAAGCTGATGTAGAACATGGGACCCTTTTCATAAATGTCCTTATATGTGAACAATGAGAACATTGATGAAAGACACTAACATGATGAATCTACCAATACTGTGGAAAAATATTCATTTGCAGGGATATTCACTTCTGCTACCTGCCAAAAAGTCACCAATTTTAGATCACAATTACCTATACAGGGGAATATCCAGGATTATTTGAAGGGGGTCCGCGGATGCGAAGAAGACCCCCCTCCTTTGGCGTGGGGTACGGGGCTCGCTGAATGGCCCGAAAAATTTTGTTAATTTAAAGGGTGAAAGGTGCCATTTGGTACGGTTTAAAACTATGATCCAGCTGGTCAAAATTCTTATATCAAGAAATCGAAGGGGGGGGGGGGGGTAAGGACTCCCCTGATCCCCCTCTATATCCGCCACTGCTATGTAACACGAGCAAGAATGTTTTTCTTCTTTTTTTTTCATTTTTGATATGATTTTAAGTTTTTCAGGCAGGATCCCCTCCATTGAGTTTCCTGAAGCAGAAACTAATATTGTGCAATTTTGTGTACCTGAATATACCTTGTACAAGTAATGCATAGAATCTGTCTGCCGAAAGTAATTCGTATCAGTGAACTGACTCTGTGTTTTCGGGATTTTTACCTAATGTTTTGTGCTATATAACGAGACACAACTTGGTGTCTTATAGCATCTAAGCATCTTTTGGGTACTGAATTTTATTCAAGTTCAAAAGAAATATTTGGTTACATGTACACACAAGTGACAAAAATAATGAGTTTAAATTTCATATTCTGTTTACCGTGTACTCTGTTATAGAACATGAGGGCTTTTCAAATGTCCTTGTATGTGAACAACGAGGACACTGATTAAAACACGACGCAATCTGTATCTACATATGGTGTGGGAACACAAGCTGGACGAAATTCAAAATAAAAACAATAATATTGCAGAAATATATTTTTGTTACCTGATCACAATTACATAATTTACTGAAGCAAGAATGGACATTTTTCCAGTTCTGATATAATTTCAATTTCGCCAGGCGCCTTCAACAATCACCCCTTCAACAAGTTATCTGCAGCAGACACCAAAGTTGTGCAATTTTATGTACATAGATCAATAGTATGTAGAAAGTGTCTTGCGATAGCAAATAATATCAATAAAGTGTCCAGTTACTAAACTGACAATGTTCTCATGATTTCACCATATGTTTTGTGCTTTATAACAAGAAACGGTGGAGCCTAAAAGCAATTTGGTATCATTTTTTATTCAAGTCAAAGAAGATAATCTGATTACATGAACACACAAAGTAAGAATAATAAACACGTCCATATCTCTTAACGTCTAATGATTTTCAGATCCATAGAAAAAGATTGACTGGTTGCCTCTCTGGTCGAAAAAATTATGATAACAACCAAATAAGAACTCTTCCAAGCTAATGGTGCCATCTTTATCCCGGTCAGTGTCGTTCATAGGTACTTCAGCTGGCAAGGTGTTACGGAATATTGTTAACAAGTTGAAATACTCATCAGCGGACATTTCATTGTCACAGTTAGCATCAAGGGTGTTGAACCATTCGGTCCAGTAATCAAACATTATGGCTTTCAGCGTTTTATTATGAAGGTCAATTTGGAATGCCTGAAACCACATTGTTATATTAATTCCATCTTCCAGATTTAAGTTTGTACCAAGAATAACAGACTCCCAATCCAAGTTCATTAATCCAAATATGGCCTTAGCCCTCCACGAGGGAAGCACTCGAGCCCCCCTTTCCGCTATCAAATCAACGAATTCCTTTTTATTAACCATCCCATCCATGTTGACGTCCAGCATTGTGAACCAAGCTTTCACTTTCATTTTCCACATTGCGGACGGTTCTTCCTGGAATAGCTTTGTACTTTAATAATTTGTCAGGGTCAAAAATATAACAGTAATGGTAAAATATTTTAAAATACAGACTCAGTTACTCCTCTACACAGTGCGACTTACTGTCTTCTAATTCATCAAACATGTATTTTATGTGTTAGGGGAGTTTTTCCAATTGTGTTGGATTTTTATGGATTATGCGGATTCTAGTCACCAATATATACATGCATATAAGTTTTGTTGGAAGGGAAGGACACAAAAGATTCATCATTACGACAATTAAGTTATCACAGATATTTAAATGTGTATTCCCTAATGCTGATTCTTACCCACAAGAACAAGAATAATAAATTAGAATATGAAGAGTAGACATATAGGAGGGCAATTCACAGTTGACAATGTTTGGAATTTTTATTAACTGTGTAGTCCTGCATGAGTCAANAAAGTTGTAACTAACCTCTTCACCGTAAGAACTGACAACAGCGGCTTCACAGGAGGCAAAGAGAACATTGGGTAACAGAAAATTGAGCAGATACATGATAACACTTCGTGTCTGAAATAAATATCATAGATAAGATACTTATGAATATATGTTTCAAGCTAATACATGCTTCATTTTAGAGAGTCTTGATATCTATACATAAAGGAACAAATACCAAATTACCCCAAAAATGTGAGTTAATCGACAAACTGTTTCATTAAAAAATTTTACTCTTTTACCTTTTTTCATGAGCCTAGCTATATAGAAAACTTTAGTCATCATCACAGTCTTTTCTGTGTATTATACGAAAACAGTCGTTTTTTAAAATAAAGCAATACTCACTCTGTCTCAGCTCAAAAGGCCAAATTATTAAATGT